TTTTTTTTTAATCTCTAACGGAGAACAGTTTGACTTTGAGCAAGAGTGAAAATAAAACGGTAACTTTTATAGCTTAATTTTATAGGGGAAAGTGCCTCTACTCAAAATGAGTCAGGGCTGATGTTTCACAGTTAAGTGTACGTAAATAAGGACGGGTTGGTGACATCCATGTCGTGTCTTTGCATTGCAACCCTCATGTCCTTCACAAAAGAAGTGAACACAGAGTGGAGGGAGCAGAGACAGCTATCAGGTGGGTATGAGGGTGGCTTTCAGCTATAATTTGTGTGTAGCATGTCCTCAGAGACACATGTGTTGAAGCTTTCAGGACTAGCCAATGCATGATGCTATTGGGAGGTAGTAAAACCTGCAGGAGGTAGGACCTAGAAGAAGGAAGCTATTGGCAGTGCATCTTTGAAGGAGATATTGGGACAGAACCTTGTTAATCTTCACTTCCTGTCCACCATGAGGTGAACAGATTTCCTCAACCCACAGAACACTGCTGTGACAGCAACAGGGACAAATGATCATAGACTGAACTCTCAGGAACCATGAAGCAAAATGTACCTTTCCTCCCTTCACCTTCACCTTCACCTCTCTCGAGTGTCTGGGACAGCAGTGGCAAGCTGACTAACACTCTGGGAAAGCGTCCTAACTGGGAAGATGTGGACCAGAAGGTATGGTGACTGCATCCTAGAGGAAGCAGGTACTAGATATGCTCATTACTTTTACACATGACCAAACTACCTAACAAGAATGACCCAAAAGAAGATGCACTTGTGGTGGGTCACAACCATCTACAATTCAATCTGGTTCCCTCTCCTGGCAGAACACTGTATGTGTAATAAATAAATCTTTAAAAAAAAGATGCACTTGTTTCGGCTCATTTTTCAGAGGCTTCAGCACATGGCTGGAGCAACTGGAGCATGGGGAGGAAGCAGCATTCATCTCACGATGGACAGGAAGAAGAGCACGAGGCAAACACTGGTGACCAAGTAGAACCCTGAAAGCCATACCCTCCCCCCAATGCTCTGCCAACCAGAGCCAAGCATTCAAAGCACGTGTGGGGAACATTTCACACTCAAACCATAAGACCAGATCCTCTCAGCAGTGTGACTGCTGGACAGACAGGAGAAGCCAGCTGAGTCTAGCGGAGGCTCACAGAACTTGAATCCAGCCTAGTTTTCCTTTGTGGCATTTCCAGAAGTGTGTTTCTGATGCAGAACCCCAGAAGCAGCCATCTGTCCCATGTCCAGCATCCTGAAGTGGCAGTGAGGGCTGTCACAAGCAAATAGATGTACATCTTGACTGATGTGGTCTTTCTTTTCTCTTTTTGTTTCCTTCCCTCAGCAATGAAAGCTCTGCTTTAATGTTGAATAGAAAGATTGGAACCATGGCTGTGTGTATGCAGTGGGTGGGGTTGGAGAGGATTTGGAAGGAAACTTATTCAACCAATCAGCAGAATGTCAACTCTTTTCCAGGCCCCATGCTGGGCAGTGGTAGGAGGCTGTGAGCAAAACCATTCTTGGGCCTCAAGAAACTCATGGTCCAGGGACAGGGTGGTCAGTCATTCTAACTTGTGTGCAGAAGTCATTTGTTCTGAAACTGAGAAAATTTCAGACAAACCACCTGGCCTAGTTCTGTGGGGCAAGGGATGTCCCTTGCAATGGTTGGTGGTGACAAGGTACTGCTTGTGAGGAAGACAGAGCATACAAGTCATTTCTTCAGCCAAGTGTGTCCTGCTCACTGTATGTATGATAAAAGAGCCTCAAGTTTGCTCAGCAAAAGACTTTGGGTGATCTTGTCTTCCTATGGTGAAAACATGAGAGAGAGATAAGAGGCTTGTCCACAATCATGCAACATGGCAGGCAGAGATGAGCGGGGTGCCCAGGTGTGCTGCACTAAAAATGACCTCCTTGACAGGTGGCACTTCCCACCCCTTGCTCACCCAGACCCTTTTTCAGGTAGGTGTGGAAAGGTTGAAGAGGGGAGGAGGAAGGTGCCTTGCATTATGAGCCACCTGCCATGATCAGGTTCCCAGTAAAAAAGGAAAAGAAGGTTTCAAAGAGATTAGGACACTTGATCTCCAGGGACCGGACTGCTTAATGAAGACCAAGGAATTGGGGAACAAGAGCCTGCTGGAGGAGGGAGGGCCTGGCATCTAAAACATCTGTAGTGTGCAGATAAGGTACAGGCTACACAGAAAATAAATGTGCCTATTTGTGCTCTATTTGATGCCCAAACTCTAACTGACCACCTACTATGTCTGAGTCCTTGTTGAAGATGGCAGGGTGGCAAAGTCAAAAAACAATCCTTGCTCTCATGGAGCTATATTCATTGGAGCCCAGGGAGAGATTATAAATGAGTGTGTGACTATGACATGATGATACATTAGGGTTTTTTTAAGGGTTTGAAAGTCTTATGAAAATGGTGATCATTTGGAGCTTTAGTTGTAAAACAACTGTAACATTTTGATTATGCTTGGAGAATGACCACCAGGAGACTGACTTACAGGGGCCATCATGACTGTCACTGGGGAAATTTAAATGAGCCTCCTTGGAAGGGGAAGTCTAGGTAGCCATGTTCAGAAATAAGGGGAGAGACCGGGCGGTTAACTCTGTCTCTGGAAAACGACCTGAAAAGGCAGAAGTGAGGGTATGAGAACTGAACTTGCAGGAAACCCTGGGCAGGCACAGGGTCTAGGGCCACAGCCTTATTGCTGTTGAGGTTTACCAGTGAAGACAATGAGCTTGGACCATGCAGTGACCTCATTAGGAACTGTCCACTGTACTTGGAAAGTTTAAAAACCAATGTGTTGTTTGATGGTGCGTGATGACACTTCTGTTTAAGCTTTGTTTTTAGCTCTCTCTCTCTTTCTCTCTCTCACGTGTGTGTGTGTGTGTGTGTGCGCACGCACATGTACATGTGACACATATGTTCAAATGCCTGAAGAAGTCAGAAGGTGTGGATTCTACTTTATATAAACACAGGTTCTTTGGAAGAGTAGCAAGTGCTCTTAACCACTGGGCCATCTTTCCAGGTCCATGTGGCACTACTTTTAACATGAACTTAGCAAGTAATGCATATGTCAGTATTCTCCTGTTTGCATGCTCAGGGAAGGCCCAGCTGTCTGGTCTTGGCTGCCTATCATAAATAAGTTCTAGCCAACAAAACTACTTGACTGTCTTCCACACACATTCTCATTGTTTTTATTAAAATTGCATTCACAATAACAAAAGAAAAAAGTATCTTTGGGAAGGGTCTGATGAACTGAAGAAGTTCCTCCCTTCACTGCGGTTAGGCAGGCTGCTTGTCTCTTCTCCAGCCACAGCATTGTCCCTGTGGTCCTGTTAGATCTTGCCCTGACCCATTCTTATATACTATTTAAGAGTCTGGTCAAATCTCTCCTCTTTATAGAGGACTCCTTGACCATTCCCTGGAACAGCTGTCCAGACATCATGCTGTGCATGTGCCCTGTGCTACTTTTCATCTGAATACTTGCATCAACTTGCTTCCATGTTCACCCATTTCTCCTGTCAAACCATAAGCTCCATGAGGACAAAGATTTTGTCTGTGTCCTGTTGTGCCCCACCAGGTATACGAAGCTCAATACATAGTTATTCCATTAAGTACAAGAATGAAAGTGTGCTATGCCAGTCTGTTAGCTTGATGGTTGCATTAAAATTGCAAGTGTGAAGTAAATTTGGGAAAAGGCTCAACTCCTTTCCCTCCCCCCACCTCCCTTTGGTGAGAGAGAAGGAGAGCTAGAAATAGAATGGGAGAAGTTTCTGTAAATTTCTGGTAACCATAGAGACAGTGATTTTCGTTTATTAATCTCCTTCTCTTAAGCAGGCTAGGGCCCCATGGTGATTTCTCCAAATTGCTCAGTCTGGTTATCCTGCAGCCTTCCTCATTAAGAAGAGCAGGCCCATTCCTATCCTGCAGCACTTTAATTACTGCAAGCAAGAGCACTGTGCTCTTACACTTATTACCCTGTGTTCTAACTTGACTGCACCCCCACTTTAGAACAATGCAACACAGCCACTAGCCCTAAACTCCTGGAGCCTTTGGTGCCAGGTGGTGGGTGTGGGTGGCTTCCTCCTCAAGCCTGGGGCTCTTTCTTTCATTCAGCAGTCTTGAAGATGAGGCTCAGGACCTTCTGGGAGAGCTTTTCATTTAAGTGAGGGCAGACCACCAGCAGGGGTTCCTGCCCATGAAGGCTAAGCTTTTGTGGGAAGAACTACCCTGGGAAGTGTGCTCTTCTTGTTGTCTGGCCTCTTGTGGGTTCTGATTGCATGGTGCCTTGCTGTTCTTCCCATGCAGAAAGATGTACCACCTCTGTGAGTGTGCCTCTGGTCAAGTAAGAGTTTCCCCCCCAATGACTTCAGGAAGCTGGGAAGTGGACAGCTGGGACAGCTCCTTTTGTGTCCGCTCTCCCTCAGGGAGGGGTTTGGTGCAGATGTTAGAAGACCAGAGTTGGAATGGCAGCAAGCTTCCACTGCACCCATTAGTAGGGACCTCTCAACTATGAGTGACAATAGGCTTGGTCCTTCTGTCTCCCAGTGTTGGGACTCTGACTACAATTTCCCTTTGGGTCCTGATGAACAGGATGTGGAGACGACTCTCTGGAGTAAGGAAGGGTGGGCTTAACAGAAATGTGTCTGTGGGTGGAGTCTCAGCTCCCCTAAAGCTGGTCACCTAAGGTCTGACCTCCCTGCCTTTGGAAACACTAAGACTCCACTTTGGCTGAATTCTCCATCCTGTTGGTTTAGAAATGCTGAGCCATCCTTCCAGCAAATGTTCTGAGAGAACCGGCCAGCGGCCATGTGCGACACTAACCACTTCCTACCCTACAGCTCGTGAGTCCGTATGGGGTCACTTAATTTAATGTGGGGGTTGTAAAAGGTCTAAAAAGAGTGAAAGAGCTCTGAATGCACAGAGAGCAAAGCTTAGTTCAAAAGTCAAACTCCGGATGAATCCAAAAAGCTTCTGGCAACACTCACCTGTGTTGTGTCTCACATCTTCACTGCAGCCTTGGTTCTGAACATTCAACACATGCACTTTGCACTGTGTATACCCCTCCGCCACAAGACACTGATGGGTGCTCCCTGAAACAGAGGATCAGGTTCAAGATCGCTGTAAGATCTAAGCTGCGGTATTTTTACTATCCAAGCAAAGTTTTCAGCTCCCATAGAAACACAATAGTTAAATTAGGAGCAGATGCTCATACATCCCATGCACCACCATTCACATGTAAGTTTGTGTGCCTTTGGACTATGCTGTGCTGAAAAGACAATCATATGGAGATCCCTCATATATCAACTTTCTTTTATCTTTAATATATGGTAAGTTTACATGTACACCAAGGAATTTGTTTTAAAATATTTATTTATGATTTACCATTAAAACTTTGTTTTAAATACCTATTTTAGGTACCTATATACTCAGTGCCACTTAAGAATTTCCTGAGTAAGAAGGGGATATGGTTATAAGAAGTCTTAAGAAGGCCTGCACTAGGTACATAGGTCCTGCTGTGCAGCTGGCATGGCCACCAACCCATTTCTATGCACTTGTGGACCAGTAGCTGTAGACTTCTGCTGCTCAAGTAAGGCCCATCTTCAGCATATCAGAGATGAAGCCTTGGGGAGAACTTAGACTTCTGTGCCCATCAGAAAAGCTGAAGGAACTTGGGAGTAGGCCCACACCCGGTGTGACTACAGTGGTATCACCACCAGCAGGTCCAAGAGCTCCATCATTCTTCTTTCCAGGTGCCGAAACCTCTCATTTCCTGACAGCCTGCCAGAGGTGAGCATCGTGTTCATTTTCGTCAATGAGGCGCTCTCGGTGCTGCTGCGGTCCATTCACTCGGCCATGGAGCGCACACCACCACACCTGCTCAAGGAGATCATCCTGGTGGATGACAACAGCAGCAATGGTGAGTGTCCCTCTGCCTGGAGCCCAGCACCTGACCCTGTGGAGGCTGATGAGAGTCTTCAACTTTATGTTTTCATTTCTCAATGTTTCCAATGGCAGTTCCAACTAAGGTGTGTCACCTTTGAGATAGATTTCATGATGGTCACTGCTTGGAAAGTCCATGTGCATCCCAGAGAGGCCAGGTCTTCAGCGGATGACCACTGTCTTTCCTAGCATTCCATTGCAATATGAGGAGATAAAAGGGCTTGCATTTGCCCCACCTCTCACAGAGTGACTGTTTCCTATGAAGCATCTTTGCATTGGTGGTGATGCTCACTTCCACTTGGATGATTGTTTGTAGTTATTGTTTTTCCACAGGAGTGTGGGTGGTGCTAATGATAGGGATATTGATAGACATGAACCAAATGAAAGCAGCTGAGCTATTGGATGTCTCTGTGAATCACTGGTTGCCCTCTGATGTCCATGCTCTGTCTCCAGAAAGGCTTTAGCATGCCTGAAAGTGCTCTATTGAACTGTTCAGTGTCTCTTGGTGCATATTCCACATCCCTTTATTCCCACTCTCATATGTTCCCAGGACCACATCTATGGATGTGCTTATGAAAATGCATGACTTAAAAAACAATCAACCATTGTGTGATTGGATCACAAGTCCCAGAACTTGCATTGTCTTTCAAGCCTTCTCAGATGTAGGTAGTAAATTTCCCAGTCAATCAGTTGCTGTAATGAGGTGGGTGATTTGTGATTTATTATCAATTAAAGCTGAAACATATCAGATAATTGAAATGGCCTTTCATCTTGATGAGTGGATTTCCTTTTCATTTTTTCATCATGAGGTAAGAAACACAGGAGCAGAACTGTGAGAAGATTCAAGAGCTTTCCAAAGGGAATGCTCATGATTCACTTGTTTCATTGTTCCATGGGCACAAAGGAAGGAGGCATCAACTAGGCTCCATCTCTACTGGTACCCACCCTCTCTTAAGATTCGGTAAAAAGGCTTCTCCAGAGAGTTGTGTGCCCAACCTCTCATCTCACACGAAGAGGTGAGGGGTGCCAGAACCTCTATCCCAGAGGTGAGGACATTTTCGAATAAACGACCCCCCCAATCTCATTCTAATACATTTCATCACAGACTAAAGGAAGAGATACTACTTGACTTTAATCTGTGTAGAAAGCAAAGGGATGCTGGGACTGGTATTCTAAGAAATTTAGATAAGGAGAGTGAATCATGGAGGATTTATGTGAATTCTTAAAATTTAGACTTTCTTTTGTCAATATTGGTAACCAACATATGGTTTGGGTAAGAGGAATGGGGGGGCGTTGAGGACTGAGCAAAGGAGAGGCTTGTCTGCTTTTTGATCCTGGGTGGGGACCTCTGGAAGAAGGGATACAGGTAAGGAGGCTCATGTGGAAGGGTAAACCAAAAGCACTGAGAACAAGACATAACCCTGAGAGACGTAACAGAGGAAGAATTTGTGGGTCCCACCACTGCAGATGGGACAGAAGAAGGCAGGGCATCAATGACTCGAAGTTTCAAGCCAAGGTGATGTAAGGGATGGTGGACATTGTCCTGGGACATGGAGGTAGCAGAGCAGTGTGCTGTGGTTACCTATGAATGGCATATACAGACAAATATACATGTAACTCGGCTGTAGGTCTGGCTATACTCAGATGCATAGATGATCAAGCTGCATCTAGCTCCCTGCGCAAACCCAAGTAAGCACCTGCATATTGGGGAGACATGGACAAGCTGTGTGGACTGGAGCAGCAGATGATGTTAGGCCAGATGTGGTGTTGCACACCTGTAATCCTAGCACTCCAGAGACAGAAGCGGGTGGATCTCTGTGTGTTCAAGACTAGCCTAATCTACAAAGCAAGTTTTATGCCAGTCAGGACTGCACAATGATATCATCTAATAATAATAATAACAATAACAACAATAATAATAATTTTAAAACTGCCCAAAAGCCATCCCATGAGATTCTACCTCATTAAATTTGAAGCAGAGTCTGGAAATTGCTGTTTTTAAAGCATCTTTAACAACTCATGGCTCTGACTGACAGCCTGGATGAATGGACTAGATATGCCTTCACTCTGTGCACAGTAAGTATCTCTGTACACTGTGAAGAGAATGACTCTCAGGCTGAAGGGAGAAGCTGTGGATTCTAAAATGCTTCCTGCAGAGGAGGAGAGACAGAAGAAATCTTTCTCTGCTAAATCTCAGTAACTTCTGTGTGATGTGAAGGTGACGGTTGTCCCGTGTGCCTTGCCTGCCTGAAGTACTAAAAGAAACCTTACAACTGAACCGAACCTGTCAGTGCTGTCCCCACCCCAGCACACAGAAGACCAGCACACAGTGAGCTGCACAGAGACGCCAGGAGACCTGAGTCTCACATGTTGAGTAAAGAAGCCCCAACTGGGAAGACAGGGCATCCCAAGAGAAGGGTGGAGAGTGAGAGCCCAGAAGCTTATGGAGGGTGTTGAAGGTGAGAGAATCAGGACCAGGGGGGGAGAGAGTGGGAGTGAAGGTGATAGCAGAATAGGAACCATGGGAATCAGAAGCCAGTCATCTCCTCTGGAATGAAAGAGCTCTGGGTTGCCCTAACCACAGGCAGGTAGATAAGGAGTTTGAGAAGAAGCTGGTGGATCTGAAATACGTGACTCTGGAAATCTTGGTAGGTAGCAGTGGTCACACAGGGCTGGGGCTGGGGATGAGAAGCTAGATGGCGGGGGGGAGGAGAGCGGGGAGTAGGGATTCACCATGAGGGCTTTGACTCCAGAGGAAGATAAGCAGCTAAGGCAGGGAGCTAGAACAGTGTTTCCCCCAAATAAAAATTTATATCATTGTTATCTTCTACAGCAAGAAATTTCCATCTGACCTGGGAAAACACGCCTACTCACGCCCCTGTACACACCACCTCTGATTGAAGCAGAACTTCTAAGAAACAATACCTACCCTTACAATGCACAAAGCATTCTGCCATTTCCCATTGCATTCTGTTCTATGGTATTCAATTCTATTGTATTTTGTTCTATTCTCTCTCCTTTAGAGGCAGGCTGTTCTCAAGGTCCCGAGTGCATATCAAAAGCACTTTGAACTTGGGAGTTGGGGTCCAGGCCATTTCTGTAGTGATTAAGGGGGTCTGAAGAGGGGGTACCCGATTCCCTAGAATCAGGGGCACTGAGCAGAGGCTCTGTAGAAGCAGGAGGTGGTTCTGGGGTGCAGAGGTACAGAGGATGAATAGAGAGGCAGCTGGAGGCTGCAGAGGCAATAGAGGGCATGTGCAGTGGTAGGCTCAGTGCTAGTATCCTGTGGCAAGAAGGGGTCTTAGACTAGAGTGCCCCTGTGTGGAATGGGACAGGAAGGTGTCCAGTAGCAGAGAGATGGCCCTGCACAGCTGAAGGTGGAAAATAGAGAGACACTCTGAGGGAAGGTGCACCTCTGGTCTGAGGCTGCTTCCTAGTGGCTCAGCCTGACCCAGTGACTGTGTCTCTACCCTGAGCAGCCTCTGTCTGGGGAGCTGCTCCTGTCAGGCATCTTGTCACTCAGGCAGGGACCGTCACAAGTTCATCAGGAACTGATTCAGTTCAGCTCCATAAACACTGCAGGAGTCTGACCTATCCCTTAAGTCTTAAATACAAAGTTTGGAGGAATGAGGAAGGTCCCTTTTGGATACTTCTTAACTTTGGTTTTCTTAGGTGCCCTGTGGGGACCTGCGGTTACTCCTTGCCCTGTCTGACAGAGCCCCTGAGGACAGCAAGGGGCAAAGGGAGCAAAGGTCAGTGTAGGTGGCAGAGTGCTGAGGGGACCAGGGTGCTGGTTAAGGAGGCAATAACACGGCCTCAGTCACTGTGAAAGGCGACTCACCGTGACGGGAAAGCTCAGGGCTGGACACTTGGCCGGCCAGCTTTGCAGTTCCAGCTCTCCACAGAGTCTTCCGCCAGTGTGTTCTTAACCTGTGTGAACCCCATTCTCCTTATCTGTAAAACTGAGACGTTTAATTCCTACCTCCGGGATTGTTCAGAGTCTTGGATGAGATAAGGAATGGTGGAAGAATTTGGGCTTTTTAGATTCTAAATTAAGCAGTGCAGAGCCACGGGAATGGCTTCCTCGAAGAGCCCTCCTCCCCAGCTTCACCAGAGTCTCTGTGTAAACTGGTACTTTCTCTACCCGCCTTCGCTGCTACAGCCTCGGCTTCCTCAGACAAAGAAAGGGGAAGCCAACCATGCTCCCATCCAAGCCTCTCCGCTGTTAGCTCCCTCCAAGGTCAGGAGGACCCAAGGCTCTGCAATGGTCCTGTAGAGGAGCCTTGGTTCATCTTTTCAACCCCTCAGCTACTTCCTCCACCAATCCTGCCTTTCCAGAGACTGCCTTCTACCTAGGACGCTGCCACTCCCTTGTAAGCAGTAGCAATGTCACTGTTACTCGTGATTAACAATACTGAGATTTATGCCAGGCAACATCCTGCCTCAGGACATTAAAATACGCTGATACACTCTTCCCCCACCTGTTGCCCCTGTTGCCTCTTTAGGGCTTCTCTCAAGCCCTTACTTGGGCTGTCAGTGACCTGTTTAAAAGTTCTTGTCCCTGTGTCCCTCTCACTCTGCACCCTCCCTGACTCTGTCACACCTAATGGCCTCTGGTGGATTGAATTTAACTGCTTCTTGTCACTAATTCTTCTGTACACTATGACACACACATACATACACACACATACACATACACACACACACACACACACATATGCCCCATGTGAAAACTCCAGAAAGATGAAGCATCTTTGTCTCAACTCTATCCCCTGTATGCACATTAGTGCCCAGTACTTGCAAGGATTCAACATACATTGCTTTGATGAAAAGATGAGTGAATCTGGGGTCTGAAGATCTGGGCAAGGCCCGGAGTCTGCACGGTGGCACTCCAGTGCGCTGGAAGCCCTCCATCTCCATGTCTAACTGTTGTTGCTTTTCATGCTGCGGTATGTAAGACTGCCGTGCCAGGCTCAGCTTCCCTCCAGGACTGGGGTAGAGCCCCTTGCTGCTGCCCAGGGATATGGCACAAATGCAGGTGGAGGATGGGTGAAATGTAGAGCAGGGAGGGGCCTTTTCTTGCTGACTCAGCTTATCCTGAACTCAGTGCCCATCCTCAGAGCCAGAGAATTGAAAAGTCTCTCTGCCTTGGTCAGTGTAATGCATCTCCTGCAAGTAATCCTCTTGATCAGCCACGCCCTTAAGACTCAGTTCTACAGCTCTACAGCCACATGTTCAGGCCCCTGGTGCCTCTTAATTATCTCAAGAAAATGATAGGAATGGCTCTGAGCCTCCTGGGCTTTGTAATGAATTGTAGTGGGTCAGTGTTTTCAGTTGTGGCTGGGAGGTCACCTTGGGCTTCCAAAGGAAGGGGACCTCCCCTGAGTTTTCATCCAATAAAGTTATCTCTGCCTTTGATTTTCTTCACCCACTCACTCATTGGTTTCCTCAGCAGGTTTTCAAATCACATGACTGAGCATTCTGAGCTTGTCCATTGCCTTGTAGTATCCCAGTCCCAGGTTCTGAGTCAGGTTCTGGGTAAAAGTCATTCTTTCAGGCCCCCTTTCCAGCCATTCAGCTAGCATCCTGCCCCACAGCTTGCCCACCCCCACTTTCAACAAACAAACAAGAATCTGCTTCTTTCCACGTACTCTGTTTGTCCCTTTTATGAGTTCAGATCCTCCTTTGAAAACATAAAAAAATAAACATATGCCCTTCTTTCCTGCCACTTAAATTTCAAAGTTAATCTTTATTTTGTTATGAAGCACATCAAAGAAATGGTAATGCCAACTCCTCTTTTACGAATCCCATTCCCTGGAGGCGTTGGTCTGCTCTTGATCTGGCAGACACTTGCTCAGCCTCCATCCTTCCCCAACACTTGCTGTCTACTTCTGCTTACCCGACCAGAGAATGGTGGCTTCAGCACGTCCTGGCCTCAAGGGATTTGATGATCCTGTCCCTCTCTCCAGGTTGTAATCACCCTTGCACACATGAAGTCTTTCATATTTACTACCAGTAGTGACAAGTAGGAAGGAGCTGTCCCTAGGTGTCATAGTGACAACACAGACCACCAGGAGCCTTCAGACTCAAACTCAGTCCATCAGCTTTAGTGAATTTCCATGTTACTGTGACAGGATAGCTTACGGGTCACTTTAGCGAAGGGAGAGTTTCCTCTGGCTCATAGTTTGATAGCAGCCCATCATGTGAGGAGGCAGAGTAGCAGCATGATACAGCTAGACACGCTGCATCTGTGCTCTGGAAGCAGAGAGAAATAGAAGTTTCATTCTCAACTTTCATTTTCCATTTTTTTAAAACCAAGAACCCAGCCCAGGGGATTATACCATCCACATTCCAGGTGGGTCTGCCCTCCTCTGTTAAGCCTTTATAAAATTACCCTCACAGACACACCCAGAGTGCTTCCATGGTGGTTTTAAATCCAGCCAAGTTGACAGTGAAGATGAACCATCACACTGGCTCCTGGGGGGAAGCCGAGACTAGAGGAGGCAGAAGAAGCCTGGCAATGCCCCTGTCTATGTGGCAGAACCAGGCTGGATCCCTTGCTTCTCACCCTGGCTGACACCCCTTTCTTCTTCCAAAGGTTGACTCTTGCTCAGGCCCCACTCCAGTTCCACTGTCTTCATTGTGTGTGAACATGATAGGCCACAGCTAGGCAACCCCAGGCCGGGTTTCAGTGTTTGAACAAGTGGACAGTGTAGCTGCCTTGTGGAAATGAGAGACCCCCTACCACTTTACTTAGTTCTAAGATTTAGTAATCAAAAGTAGACCATTTGCTTCCAGAAAGCTGTCCCACACAGTAGGCTGGATGAGGGAGTGTCTCAGTATTCCCAAGTCCCTCCCACTATGCTGTGCTTTCAGCTGGGCATTAATGGCAGAATGACAGTTAGCAACAGATGAGCCAAGACAGGCAGGCTAAGAGGCACCCAGCACTGGTCATCTCAGGAACTTTGTGTGTAGCTAGTGGGAATTGCTTAGTCAGTTTTGCAGATAAAAGAGTAGCTACAAATCTCCTAGGATAGGCAGAGGCAATGAAGCTAAGTTTCAGAGGTTAACAGGAAAAACAAGGGTGGGCATGGCCCATGGCCACACAACCAAGAAAGATGGATAAAGGAACCCAATCCATTTGGCCTTGGTATCTCTTTCTATAATGCTACTGGAGAATTTGATCACATGTTACCTGGCTATCCTTGAACAGCCAAGCTTCCCAGTACTTCTGGGGTGGGGGGCTGGGAGGAGAGGGGATAGATCAGAGCCAAAGTGATAACTGCATTACTGAAATGGTAAGCCTGTGCTCTGAAGCTCCAACAGGGAATAGAACCTCAGTCCCCTCCTAGGTACAGAGTACTTGGAGTCCAGCATCTGCTCCACTGGAAAGCAGCAGGCAGGCTTGGCCAGGAATGGTTCCCAGATTGGTGTCTGGGTGTCTAGCATCTACCCAACTGCTCCCTGAGGCCAGGACTTCTTGTCCATCCCGGTCCCTAGCTAGAGTGACTGCCAGTACCCCCAGGGAAGACGGAGTCCTTCTCCAGTTCATTGATCACCTCTCTGTACCAAGGCCATTTTAAGGGTATCCCATAAATTAATCAAGCCCCATGAGAGTTCTAAGAGCCACTGTCAGTGTGACTTTATATAACAGGAAAACAGGAATAGAGAGGCAAAGCCAGTTTCCCAAAGTCACACGGAGGTGAGAGTGGAACCCATGGCTTCAGAGCCTAAGGCCTTGCTTGACCAGTAGACAAGCTGCCTCCCATGCTGCACAGTTTGCTGACTCCAAAAGACTCATTTGACTTCTGTTCTCGTTTTTTAACTCCGTTCCCTCCGGGGAAAGCAAAGCTGCACAGTGGGAACAGTGAAATAGGAGAAATAGGAACATGAGCAGGATGGGTTGTCTCCTCCACTGGAACCTTCCTGGAACTCAGTAAGGAGAGACATGGCACAGACGCTTTGAGACCCAAGAGATGACTGAAGAGTTATCAGCCATGAATAATCTAACCTTTAAATCAGGAAAACATTGGGGGGGGGTGTTTCTGTGTGCTTCTGTGTGTTTGTGTGTAGTATATGTAACTGTATGTTTGTGTATATATGACTGGGCATGTTTATGCATATCTGCATGAATGCTTTTGTGTGTATGAGGCCCTGTGTACACACACTCGTGCAGTGGTGAGCATGTGTGCACATGTAATCGGTGGTGTACAAGGCCCTACAAACAGTGGATTGAGCCCTATCCCTTGTCTTTTACTACCTATCACTACCTAGAGATATCTTCAAACCCAGATAAATGACAAGCGATTACAGAACTGTGAGTCACTGTCACATTCCATGTCTTGTAAGACAGTCACCATGTAATGATGAAGTAGAACCCTTGTTCCTGGGCTCCTTGCTGTCAGCTACTAGGTTCCCTGTCTTCTTGAAAAATCCCCATCATCCCTTGGCCCAGAGCCTGCCTAATCATTGTTTAATGTTTCAAAGATGCTGGCCTACACAAGAGATACTCATTCCAGGATGTAAAACCAGCAGCAGCTTTGCACGCAGCTAGAATAATTGTAAAAATTTAAAAAGCAGAGGAAAAAACAGTCCAATAGTCTTGTGTTTTATGAAAGCTTGGTGAATCCCATGTAGCTAATGGACTTACAACCAAGATTCAGACAGCTTAAAGGGGTTTACACAGCCAGCCATGTAAGCTGTCAGCCCCAGCCTTCCCTGTTCTGCTTCAAGCTACAGCACCTTGTTGTTACTTATTCCTGTCCATTGACCATTAGGACCAGGCTTACCCATGCCCAGCACTGGAAGTAGACACTCAATAACCTAGAGGTTCAGGTAGTGAGACACTGTGTTCTGCCAGTCCAGTTGCTGCCTGGGGTTTCTTCTGCATGCTGCATTGTTCATCAGTAGTCTGGAGAATGGCTCCGTGTGATAGCTAATATTGATTGTCAACTTGACAGGGTCTACAGTCACCTCTGGGCATGCCTGGGAGGGAATTTCTGCATTGGGTTCTATGTGGTGGGAAAATGTAGGCAGCACCATGCTATGGAGTGGGGAGCCAGACTGAATAAAAAGAAGAGAGCAAGCTGAGTACCAGCATCTGCGGTCTGCTTCCTGACTGCAGATGTGATGTGAGCAGCTGCCTTCAGCTCCCACCACCACCACTTCTCTGCCATGACAGACTGTACCCTCAAACCTGAGCCGAATAAGCCCTTCCTTCTCTGAGTTGCTTTTGTCAAGCATTTTGTTACCGCCATGACAAAAGTAACTAAGACATGCCCAGACTCAGCCGCACACCTGTCCTCTGCTGCCATCCAACCTGCATTTTCAAGCTGTTTACTTAGTGACTGGTGTCCTAGGTACACCAGGCAGCTCACACCTGTCACTGTCTGCTAACTGGAGCCCAATCTCAGGCCTAGGGCCTGCTGTGGTCAGTGACTCTGAGATGTGCAAGAATCAGACACACACTTTTCATTTGCTCAGCTGTGACAGTTTGTCTCAGCTCTGTCATGTGAGTTTCTGCAAGTGCTGCCTTATCCTGATACTAGGACTATGGCTATGTGGGAGACCAAACGGACCTGTGTCCTACCTGCTGAACTGCTCATCTTCCTGAGCGCCTACCACAGAAGTGCTCCTAACACACATTGAGGGGCCATGTATTAGCCTACCAGCCCTGACCTCTGCAAGAGAAGCAGTGTCCTAATGGTGACCTGGCCCAGATGTAGCTGCTGCTGTGTGAGGTCTCTGCCCCTGCTGCTCTCGCCTGTCTCTGACTGGGCTGTGTACTTAAACCTTCGGCCTGTTTCACCACCAGTCCAGTTTCCTGCTGGAATATGGAATGAAACCTCTCTCTGATACCTACTCTCGCAGTTCACTGGAGCCCTGCTCCTTATCTGGCCACTTCTTCCTCCAGAGGACTAGACACTGATTCCTGTATAACCAGATTGGGCCCCCGTTTCCAGGCTCTGATCCACTTGCCCTCATATATCCTGAAGGGCACACACTTAGAGACACTGGGCTACGTGTGATCCTGAGGACCCTGCCTGTGTATGGACCAGCCCTGACCTCAGTTTCCCTACTTCAATCCTGCATATTTCTACCATCTCCTCGATTCTTGTCAACTACTGTCCTGAAGTCCTGACACACTACAATGGTTCAAGCCTGGTGGGGTCTCCATGGGTAGCTCACTGCCTCCTTTAGCCCCATTCACTTACAAAGTTAATTGTCTTAGGGAGTTGGGGCTCCCTGGCATACTTCCCTGACAGTGCCTGCAGGATGAAGCACCTGCTTCTCGGCTAATGAGCACCCTGTGAGCAGCTACATCAAGATGGCCTGGACCACTTTGTTTAGAGACTAGCCAAGGTGACCAGTTTTGGATAAACAAAGCGGGCAGGATTCAGAAAAGGACTCGCCTCCTCTAGTCAGCTGCCCGGCCATCTGTCAGAGAGGGAATTCTTGGAACTGGAGCATGGAGCTAAGTGTAGGAGTGATGGGAAAAGCTGCTTCCTGCCCACAGGTAAGGGGGCCTGATGCTGGCAGCTGGAAGTCAAGCTGCCCCTGAAAAAGGTCCCAGGAAAACCGTCCAAGGTTGGAGTAGCTGGAAAGCGCTCTCTGTCCCTCTTGGCCTGGAGCCTATCTTGCTCAGCAGGTAGAAAAGGCAAATTCTGTTCCCGAAAATCATGAAATTTGGGGCACCCCTGATGAGCCAGGCTCCTCTCTTGCTATCCCAATGATTCCAAAAAAGGGCTCCAAGCTAAATTAATGAAACAACTTCTACTTGCTGAGGTTTGAGTGCAGCCCCCAAAGTTCTCATAAGAAATTTAATCCCCACTGCATCTGTGCTGAGAGGTAACAACTCTAAGAGGCAATTAGGTCACAGGGCTCTGCAATCTCCTGTAGATTAATGATGAGATTAATGCTCTGGTAATCACTCACCTCAAGACTAGGATACAAAATTGGGGAAGAAGAGGTTGGGGTATAATAGCCCTTCTGATACCTGGAAGTCCCGCCACTAGCCCCACCTATTAAAGTTTCTTTCACTTTCTTGCAGCTCAGACAGGAACCTTCCAAAGACATTTGAAACCTAAGCCATAGCAATCAGTGCCCCACAGCCCTCCCTCTGTATCAAGCTGTGGCTACTTCGTCTTGAACTTCAGAACCTATAGAACATTGAATCCCCCCCCCAAAATCAATGCTCTGTAAGTTACTCTGACTCAAGTATTTTATCACTGCGTCCAGAGCTAAGTGAAAAACATTATTGACATGAAACCTTCGGAATATAGAAGGTTCTTGAAAGGCTGCTCCAAGCCTTTTGTGACATCAGGGACTGTGTACTCAGAAAAAAAAGTTGGCTCTTATCAGCACTGCAGCCACCACCCTTTCCTGCATAGTTAGTGTTCCGAGCTCCTGGAGGGTGAACAGCTAGCTCTCTTGTTTGATGAGCTGGAGGCTGTGCTGAGGGAAATACACAGGCTGCAGAGGCTGGTACAAGTGATGGGGGCTGAGGTCCCACTGGTAAGTATGTACCCACCTAGACTGGGACTCAGTATATGGCTACTCTTATGGAGGTTATGACTCTGTTTGTTTAATTAAGGCCCTATTCTACTCTCAAGGGCCCTCAGTTAGATACCAAGCACCATTATTTTTTCTGAGACTGCCTGACCTGCCTGCCCAGGCCCACAGGGACTCACACTCCCTTTGCTCCGTTCATTCACATGCATTCATTCAACAAATAGAGGAATAGGACCAAGTTCCTAGAGGAGGCGGTAGTGAGACAGAGCTGAGCTGCTCCCAAAGATCCATTCTCCTACCTGAGAGCACATCCACACCAGGAGGTACCACAGGTCTCATGGCCTTCTCACAGATGTCTCGGGGAAGCTGACACCCCAACACCGGGTTCCGCTCTGGAGTCCCCAGAACTTAATTTCTATACTGAAGGGTCCTAAGTGAACCACCAAAGCTTGCTAGGTCCTGTGGGTGGGGGAGGTGAGTCAGTCGTGAGCCCAGAAGGTGTGGAGACTGTGGTGATGCAGACAAGAGGCCCATGGTGAGCTAGGGGAGGCAGCGTTGTCTCCCTCCGTCACCGTCACCAGGACCTGCCCATTTGTCCACATGTTTATGTTCTGTGGGCTGAATAAACCATGAGCATGGGTCAAATGCTGCCCTCTCCTACCTGACCACAGCTTCTTCTGCCTGGACTCCCACAGGAAGAAACAGAAGCATCTTTTGAAATGCCATTTATCTCAAGTGTCCCTCTCGCCCTCTCCCCATCGCTGTAATTGCTTGTTTTCCCCATCTCAGAAAACGGCCACCCCAGACAGCAGAATTAGCCATTCCTTCACAGCATCCCTTTGCTGTATGTGCTGTCTGAGGACATTGCCAGGCAGCGAACCAGGGAGGGGCCTCTTTTAGAAAAGAACAAGGTCATTTTTGGCCACAGGATGGGCTTGTGTCCCTGGAAGATAGGCTCAGATGCCAATCTTGGGACCTGGGAGCCAACCAAAGTCAACAACACAGGAGAGAAAATCCCAAGGTTTATGCTTCTCCCCACCAGGGAAGGAAGCCAAACTGTATCTTTACAAACCCAAATCTTTAAACTCTTCCTCCTGGGGTGCACTTGATGGGTGACAGAAATGAATTAGAAATTAGATCAGGACTGAGCATTTACATGGGCCCTGAGCCAAATGAAAATTAAAACAAGTGTCTCGGCAGGGTTAATGGCAAAGGCGAGGCTCCCAGCCTTCCTTGGCAGAGTGTGTCGACCTGGGTCTCAGAGGGGAATTGATCAATGGAGCCAGATGATGAGATCAGGAGGTGGAGAGAGGGCTCTCCACCCAAGCAGTGGGAGGAATTAACTTGTCACCAAAGGATACTCGCTGATGCAACAGGAGAGTCCCGCAACACAGGACAGATTTTAACAGCAGGCGGTTCAATGGCATCATCGGCTGCCCACTTCAGCCTGAAGGTGCCAAAGAAAGGAGCATGTCCCCTACCTCGAGAGAGGCTTCTGGCTGAGTTGCTAGCCCCTTTCTGGGGACTGGATATGTCTGTGAGCTTGCCTGAGTTGTCAAATTTCATTTGGCTCCAAAATGAGAACTAATATAGAGAATCCAAGCAAGCCACGTTGTTTGCTGAGTGTTCCAGGTTGGCCTGCTCAGGCATGAGGCTGAGAAATTGGCTCAAGTGATTTTATTTTCTTTGAAAAGAGCACTAGAGGTTGTTCCTTGATCTTTCTGGAGTGACTTCCCACAGTCTTGGATATTTGATTACTACCCTCTGGACCTTCACACTCTGTGTTCCTGTGAGGAATGGGAATAGGGGTGGGCAAGGTGATGCTTTATAAATTCCCAAATTTGCCACATTTCATCTTCTTTCTTTGTTGATATCAGGTAATGCTTGGGTGCACAGATACATGGGTCCATGAGACAATGTGTTATGGATGCATGGGTGAATGGGTACATACATATACACAGGTACATAAATACATTAGTGTGGTGTGTGAGTGCATGGGTGCATGGGTGAGGATACAAGAATGAAGTTAATGTTTTCCATTCCATGTTGTAGGTATTTTATGCCCACTTTAGGGATGAAAAAACTGAGGGTCAGAGTTGCTAAATGAGTGACTAATGTTCTCTCTGTAATGTGAAAGCAGGGCAACGCCTTAACCTTATATTTCCCAACACCAGCCTCATACATTTCTCCTTTCTTTGTTAAAGATAAACAAAAGCCTGCCTAGTATCTAGAGATGGCCTCATGGGATTGGAAGCATTTTCTGTACAAATAGATGGCCAGGAGTCCCCTTTTTCCCTTTCAGCACATATTTACCAATCGTTTTGCAGGCAGAATTCTAATGTGGTCCTGTGAGAGTCCCAGCCCTGATATAGACTCCTCCCAGGTTTCTAGCCCTACCCAGGGCCCAAGAGAGCTGCTCAGTCACATACTACCCTGGATATTTCTGATAATAAACAGTGTCAGTGTCCTCCTTTAGTTGGGTGGAAAAGGTCCTCCAGTGGTGTCAGCAGGGGGATGTCACAGAAATGTGCTCTGGTGGCCCAAAGCAAACAGAACTCTGGGCTGTGACCTGCCTGAAAGAGTTGGGTGGCAGGTAGCTGAGAGCAGTCTGAAGGCGCTGAGGGGAACATCCAGCCACTAGTTAGCAGGAAGCAGGAAGAGCCTTCTAATACAAAGAAATGAATTTGGCTAGGAGCCAATCCACCTGGTGGGCAACCCTGAGCACCAGATGAGAACCAGCACTGACAGCAGCTGGACTTCAGCCCAGTAAAGACCCTGCTAGGCGCCATCTGAATGATGAGTTCCAGAAATCTGGAGACCATGGGTGTGTGTTGCTTTAAGCTGCTAAGTGTGTGGCATTTCCTAAGCAGAAAAGGAAAAGTCACGTGTTACCCAGTGTGTGCTTGGCCAGTGTGCTACTATACACAGGGAATAGGAAGCTAGCATCTTATTGCCTGGAGGAGGAGACAGGCAAGGCACAAATGGTGACAGATCATACTAAATGCCCAAGTGGAAAAAATAGAAGAGTAGGAAATAAATCAAGTGGGGTATGGGGGCATGCTTTAGGCTATGGGGGCAGAAAAATCCTCTGGTCCAATGTTTCAGACACAGGGACTAGCACCAGTAGAAATGGGAGGGAGCCTGCCATGGTACCAGAGCTACAGGGAAAGGAAGGAGGGGGGTGGCAGGGATGGCTCACGCAGGTCCCTGTGCCATGAGCTGCTCTAGTGAACTCTGTGTGGAAGACCTCCACCACCCTTCAATGAGTGGCTACAGCAAAGGAATTCCAGAAACTGTCACATACTTTGGGTAAGGCATTACAGTGGGACTCTGGTGGCTGAAGTGGGAGGAGATTGGATGAATCTGCTAACAGAATAAACACAAGGAATGATGCAATGGAAAGATTTGAAGATGCATCCCCACCAGTGATGTGGGGAACACAGGTACCATTTGCCAAGATGGTGGAACCCTATGGGAGAGCATCAACTTGGAGAGTGAAAATAAGTGTCAAGTTTGGGCTCTGGTGAGTGTGGGCTGACTACCAGACCTCTAAGGTAGAGAGCTCTTAGTAGACAAAGGGACAGACAGGCAGAGTGGTCTGCAGAGGTGGGAGCCAGGTCCAGGGGTGGGGAGGTATTAACTGTCTCTGGCTAGGTGGCTGTGCAGTTAGCTCATGAACAACCTCGTTAGAATGAAAGAGCACCCCACCTTCACATGGCAAAGCCTCAAGAAGCCAGCCTACACCTCTGACATAGCCATCTTCCTGGTCTCTATGTTCCTGTGCTGGATCCCAGGACAGCCACAGTTACCAGGCAGAGGCTTCAGGAAGGAGTGGAGGCCTCTAGATGGAATGGAAATTTCTGGAAAGAGTGGCAGTCTCAGGAAGGAATAAAGGGGGAGCTTCTAGAAGGAGCAGGGACATGGGGAAGAGCAGCTCTGATGTGAGCCGCCACTTTGGCAGGTTCCTCACTTCGGCCTGCTGGTGAGGTGTATTAAGCACCAAATGACAGGAGCTTGAAATTGCAGTCTAACAGGTAAAAGGACCTGGAGAGTAGAGAAGAATGTGTGTGAGCACAACCAAATCTCCTGTAGGACAATCAACCCCTCTACTTAAATTGCCCCCCAAGGTCAAACAACCGCTAGAGACAGCTGGAAGAGCCTGTGAATCCTAGTGGAGCCATTGCCTCTCTAGGAGGAGGTTGGGCCAGCCTATGGCTTCTCTGCTGGGTCACTAGATCCAGGTAGAATGTATATATCAAAGAGCTTCCCACAGGAATCCTGAGCAGGGGACTTGGGACACATGGCAGGCAGCCACTTAGGAAGTCTAGGGCACTTGTGATGAGTGACCTCAGCTTCTCTAATTTTCCCTTGGAGAAGCTACTCCATCAGAAGCATGCCTTTCAAAACATGGGCTTTGTGAGGGGGTAATTTGAGATAAGACTTCAGGTTGGGAAAAAAGACTAGGGAAGATTATAGCAAGTAGGAGCCTGTCAGGTACCTCACATGCAAGTAGAGATCTGGTCTACCAGAAACTGTGATGTAAAATACATACACAGATTACCCATACATACAGAGAGACAAGGAAGCTGGGCTAGGTATATGCCAGTTCCCTGTAGTTGAGGTGTAGGACTCTCAAGGGTATCAGTTTCAAGATGGTTAAGTGCTCACTAAGCAAACATAAGAACCTGAGTTCAGATCTTCAGGCCCCATGTAGAGCAGTGCATGAGGAGGTAGGGAAAGAAGATCCATGTGACTTGCTGGGGCAGGCCTAATTAGAGAGCTCTGGGCTCAGTGAGCGACCCTGACTCAAAGAATATGATGGAGTGTAATAAGAAGCACACTCATGAATGAGCATATACATACTTACACCACACATGAACAGTTAATTTCTCCCCTTCAGACCTTCAGCTGCCAGGGGAGAGCAGCCTTTTTGTGGTTTTAAATAAAACCTATGAACAAAGGTCCTGGCAATAAGGTATGATTGTGGGGAGACAGAAGGCATG